TGAGTTTGAGGCCAGCCTGGTTTACAAAGTGAGTTCTAGGAAAAAAAAGAGGAAACTAAGTCTGAAGTAAAATATAAGCCATTTGTCCCCAGAATTGAGAAATGTTTTGCCTTTTAAAGTGAAGATAAGACCCAAAGGTCTCTCTTGGTGGGTTCATTCCCCCTTGCCCATGTCCACTTCCCACCCTCTTTCCTCAAGCGTGTGTGTGTGTGTGTGTGTGTGTGTGTGTGTATGTGTGTGTGTGTGTGTGTGTGTGTGTGTGTGTGTGTGTGTGTGTAGCTAGGGGCTCACTATATAGCCCAGACTAGTCTTGAAATTCACTTGCTTTAGCCTACCCAGTGTTTGGATTACAGGTGTGTATGTACTATCATATCCTCCTTAAACAACAACAACAACAGCAACAAATCCCTTGTTTTAGCTTCTGTGGACTTAGAATGACTCATAACCACGGGAAGCATAGAAAGCTCATACACTTTCTTCTGTATCGGGGAGAAGTAATATGGATATGAGTAGGATGTTTCTACTACTTATTAGCAATGCTACTTCTGATAAGTAGTTTATTCATCCATAAAAAAGGGCTATTAGTGTGCATACCGACTGTGAGGCAAAGAATCACTTGAACCCACTTGGGGTTTCAAAGAACCTGGGCAACACACACCGATACTAGCTAGACCTCATGTCATAGGCAGGCTGGCTGGTATTGCTTCAGAAGGGATTGAGAAGATTCTACTGATACTTTCTAGGGGCGGTTGCAGTACACTTTACTCTAGGTTTGTATTTTATCTTTCATTCAGATGGGAAAGCATTTTATCCTGTTAGCTAAAATAGACATTCATGCTTCCTCTCATTGCTTTCTGCATAGATTCACTGCTTGTTGTCCAGATAGACAAGTGTTCCCTAAATGTGGCAGACAGGTTGTCTATTGTCTTGTCCTTTTTAGGGCTTTGAGGAAGTAGGGACTTTGTAAATATGACTCAGTTATGTGCTTCCACCTTTTCCAAGTTATTTCCAAATGGTGAGCAAAAGAGATGGGGAAATGCTGTAGATGGGAAGTAAAAGGGTTGGTGAGAAGCTGCCTCTTTAAAACAAAGAATGTGAGCTCAAACAGTTGGGTGACCTCTCCTAAACCCAGAGGTTAAGCTTTTCTCTGGATATTTTTTTGATTTTTTTTGCCTGGGGGTATAAGGTGTCACAGTTAATTTTAGCATTTCCCTTTTAATGAGAGTTAAACAATATCGAATTCTGCTTGGTTTTTTTTCACTTCCCATTGTAGACTGCCTTCCCTTTTTTCTCCCTCCTTTTTCAGGAAAGAGAAAGGCATTTGGCCTCTCCCCTTCCTCTAGTCAGACACCTCCCCCACACCTCCCTTTTATCTTTGTTTCCTTATCGGCTTCTCCCCAAGCCCTGCTTTTTCCTTATAAGGCTAGGCAAGGTCCCTCTGCTAGAGTTGCAGGGGGATCTAGGTGAGTAGCTGTCTCAATGTCTCTTGAGAGAAAATTCAGTGTTTGTCCCAGTGAAGGGCCTTGGAGAGAGGCACCTGGCTAATGGGGGAGGAGAGGAGAGGGAGGTGGCCTGGCCTGAGAGATCAGAAGGACTTGTTAGACCAGTCCTGTGTATGTGTCATACAACTCCAAAGAGAAGCAGGTTTTGTTTCTTTCCATGCCCTTTCAGTCCTGAGCTCCTCCATAGGAGAGTCACACCTTTCCTCTGCTTCAAAGCCAGCCCAATTTTAGCCACTGTCAATGTGCTAGGGCTTGGGGGTTGGTTCCTAGGGTACTTAGGAAGGGAAAAAAGAACAGGAATAATGTTTTATATAGTTTCTGAACCGAGGAGGCCACGATGGTAGAAAACATCTTTTTTTCTTCCATTTGAGATGTCTTTCAGTATATGGTTTCCTCAAACTCCTAGGCTCTGATGATTGTCCTGCTTGGGCACCAGTTTGTCTTGTGGCACTGGAGACGGAACCCAGAACTGCCTGCATCCTAGGCAGCTTTGTACCTTTAAGCTGTATTCCCCAGTCGCTATATACTTTTTTGAAACTATAAATTTACAGTAGGGACTGCAAATCTATCATGTATGGTGGCCAAAGTGCATTTTTAGCATTCTGGAAGCTGAGAGTTTGAAGACAGTTTGGACTATATAGAGTTGCAGGCCAGCCTGGACTGCAGAGTAGAGACCCTGTCTCAAACAAGCAAATTGGAAAAGAAAGCAAACGTTAAGTGCTGAAATGGATGTAATGCACACCTGTAGTCCCATCAGTAGGAAGCCGAGGAAAGGAGGAATGCTGAGTTCTAGGCTAGCTTGGCCTATATTGCTAAGCCTGGTCTATTTCTCTGAGCTAAGTTCATCGCTCAGCTTGGCCACATGCTCCCTAGCAGAGTCAGGCCAGGATAGCCAAGCTTTGTTGCCTTGGCCATCCTATGGCCTATGGATTTGTGCCCTTCAGATGCCCGTGATCCAGAAACCTTTGTAGCTCTGGTTACCCTAAGCCTGGCTGTGTCCTCTCAGTCCAAGAACCCTCTAGTACAGCACAGGTCCATTGTTACAGAACACAGCCTCTGCCGTGCCAGCCAGGGGAAAGTGGAATCAAACTCCTGGTAGTTTGCTTTATTTCTTTTTAGGGTACAGGATCACACAGTGTAACCGAGGCTGTCGTGGAGTTCATATAGCCCAGGCTGGCCTCACTCAGCAACTCCCAAGGATCCCCTGTCTTAGCCTCCCTGATGCTTGGATTGCAGGTGTGAGCTACCACAGAGGCACAAGAAAAACCTTTTACGTGTTATTTTTTTCTTTCTTTTTATTTTGTTTTTTATTTTTGTCTTTTCCAGAGAGGGTTTCTCTATGTAGCCCTGGCTGTCCTGGAACCAGCTCTGTAGACCAGTCTGGCCTTGAACTCAGAGGTTTGCCTACCTCTGCCTCCAGAGTGCAGGACACCACTGCCTGGCTCTTTTTATTTTATTTCTGTGTATATATATATGTAAGTGCACATGTGTGCAGGTGCCCTAGGAAGCCAGGAGAGGTGTCAGATCCCTTGGAGCTAGAGTTGTAAGCTTCGGACTAGGGTGCCAGGAACCGAACTTGGTCCTGTGGAAGAACAGCAAACATTCTTAACTGCTGTGCCATCTCTCCAGCCCCATGTGGAGAGTAATTTAAGTCAGGAAAATAATTTGTTAGGAAAAAAAGCTTTTATGTGTTTAAGTTCTTTTCCTTTGGCACCTCAGTCAGATGTATTACTTTCCCCAGAGGGTCCATTAATTCCCAAGTGAGCCTTAAGGTGGATACAGTAAGACACTATTGGTCAGCCTTTTCATTAAGTGGAGTCTCAGGGAAATGCAAAAATTTCTAGAGTGTAAAATTTGTGACTCAGTAGTTCTCAGTTGAGATGAAGTTATGAAGTGAGCAGAGTCCCCTTTAGATTATTTTTTATTACTAATATTATTATTGTCATACTATGTTGCCTGGGCTGAACCAGAACTGCCTTAAGCAACAGGCACACACTGTTGTGCTCTTCTGTCTTTGGATCTTTTCTTTGGTTTGTGTATTACACAGGACTAAACCTAGGGTCTTATGACCCCTAGGCAAGCACTGTATTACGGAGTTAATATCCCCAGCCCTTGAATTTTTAATTTTTTTATTTTGAGAGGTGGTTTTCCTGACCTTGAACTCCTTTATGTAGCCCAGGTATGCCTTAAATTGTGATCCTTACGTCTCACTCAGTTCAAGTATCTAGAATTACAGGCATAGACCTTCCAGGGACTTGGGGTTAATATGGATATGAATCTTTTTTTTTTTTTGGTTTTTCGAGACAGGGTTTCTCTGTGTAGCTTTGCGCCTGTCCTGGAACTCACTTGGTAGCCCAGGCTGGCCTCGAACTCACAGAGATCCGCCTGGCTCTGCCTCCCGAGTGCTGGGATTAAAGGCGTGCGCCACCACCGCCCAGCCTTGGATATGAATCTTAACAGAGAAGTGAGAAATACTATAATTAGTCTGACTGAATTTCAGAAGGTGGAAATTCTTATAAGTGTTGGGTTGGGAGCTGGAACTTTGGACTCTGGTACAAGCATTCTTCCTAATATGGAGTCTTAGAAAAACTTTTCACAGAATATGTTTCTTTGAGATTAGAAGAGAATGGTAATTTTCTCTGTGTGTGTGTGGGCTTGAATAGAAGCGATGAATTGTGAGTTTTGGATACATCCTTTCTGGCTGAAAGCTCTGTCATATGGTGCTCAAGTGTTACAGGTGCTTGCTCTGTGTTACTGATTGGTGTGCTTTAAAAAATCATTTTATAGCCCCAGAAGACACAGAAATGGAGTTTGCTTTGAGGGAGAACATACATTTCTGGCATTGGTTTTGATTTATAATGTACTAACAGGAAGAAAGGAGGCTTTGGGACTGGTTACAGAAGATTGTAATCCCTTCCCTAGAGCCTGAAGATCGAAGCTTGGAGAGCTCTTCTACTCAGGGAAAATTGGGATTTCTTCCAGAGCACACCCAGGTGTGGCCATGTATGGATGTATCTACCTGAGCTTCATGGAAGTGCATGTGTGTGTGGGGTGTGTGGGTGGCTGTGGGTGTTAGGGGGTGTAATAGTCTTTGTCATTAAATGAAGCTCTGGAAGGTAATGGAAATTGAAACTTAAACAGGGTTATTACTTCTCCCAGGTTTCGTGTGTGTGTGTGTGTGTGTGTGTGTGTGTGTGTGTGTGTGTGTGTGTGTGTTGGCAGAACCAGTGATTGGATCCTAGATCTTTTGAAGTCAGGGATTTCATTTAATCTTTGCTATTAAGAAAGTAAAGAATTCCAGTGGAGTGATGGGAGCAAGGAAGGCATGTAGTTTCTCACACTGACATACTAGTTCCCTGTGTTCAAACTGTAGTAATGTCTATAGTTACGTTGCCAGTGATTTCCCAGATATTCAGACTTTCTCTAAGCACTTCACATGGATTGTTTCATTTAGTTCTCATAACTACCCTTATGTGTTTTTATTTTTCCATCTTACAGAGAAAGAAAACTGAGGTTTAGTGGCAAAGTGGCACTTTGCCCAGTATCATGTAAATGTTGGAATCTGGGACTTGATGCAGTCGAGATCTAAAAGTCCATGTTCTTTGATGATGATGACGATGATGATGATAATGATGATTGGTGCTAGCAATTCTCCTGCCTCAGCCTCCTAGTGCTGAGGTTATAGATGTGAGTCACTATGCCCAAATTATATTCCTATAAAAGTGTTTTTAATTACACTTATTGATTTGTGTGTGTTTATGTCTGGGAACATGAGTGCTGTAACTCCTTTGAGGAGGTCAAAGGACAACTTGTAGGAGCAGGTTTCTCTTTCTGCCATGTGGTCCCAGGAATCCAACTCAGATCATCAAGCTTGGTGCACAACAGTCCTAGTCCAGGAACCATCTCACCAGCCCCCAAAGAGATTTCTCTAGCCAGTTTACAGTAGAACAAATCATTCCAGGGGCTGTGCTGTTGGTGACTGGTTTTATTTATTGCTCTGCTATTTGGTTGGCACTGTCAAATTCTTTGGTCCTTCGGGACATTTGATTTTTAATTTACCTTGAAGTTCTGACAAAAGAGACTGACATTTTATCATTGTCATTGCTTGAATGAGTAAGCTGTAGACCTGCAAGGTCTTTCTAGTATGGATGGGTTCCATCCAGTAAAAACCTATGGCTTGTTAAAAGTAAGCACAGCTATTCTCATAAAACATAATCTTATGAGAATAACAAGGTAAATACCCCCTGCCATGATCCTTTTTTAGTGAAAGTGTCTCTTTGACAATATTAATTGGTGAATCTGGAAAGACTTTAAGAACTTTTCTTTCTTTTTCTTTGGTTTTTTTTTTTTTTTTTGTTTTTTTTGTTTTTGTTTTTCGAGACAGGGTTTCTCTGTGTAGCTTTGCGCCTTTCCTGGAACTCACTTGGTAGTCCAGGCTGGCCTCGAACTCACAGAGATCCGCCTGGCTCTGCCTCCCGAGTGCTGGGATTAAAGGCGTGCGCCACCACCGCCCGGCCTTTCTTTGTTTTTTTGAGATAGGGTTTCTCAAAACTTACTTTGTAGACCAGGCTGACCTTGAACTCACAGAGATCCTTCTGCCTCTGCCTCCCAAGTGCTAGGATTAAAGGCGTGTGCTGCCACTGCCGGCTTGAGGGCTTTTCTTGGCCAGCCGGAGTCAGTGGGTGGTTTGCAGACTGGTCTTTTTATGGTGTTTGGCAGGAAGAGGAGTCATCAAGTTAGGAGACTTTCTGCTGTTGCACGTCATAGCTGCAGCTTCCTTCTCAAGTATGCTTCCTTTTTCTCTTTCCTTCCCTCTTTCCTGAAAAGAAAGGTCTTAAAATATAAGTCAGAGGGCCCTGGGGGACCATTCATTCATTTATTTATTTTTTTGAGGAAGGGTTTTGTTGGGTAGCCCCAGACTGGGTTTGAACCTGTGGTTCTTTTGTTGAACCTCATAAGTGTTGGGAGTACAAGCATTTGCCAGTGTGCTCTGCTTGGTCTTGTATTTGGACAGCATGGCATAGAAGAGAATGTAAGCTTTAAAAATATTCTAGACCGAGGTTTAAATTCTAAATTTGCTATGAACTCTAGGAACTTGGTTAATTTTTTCACCTATGAGTCTGTTTTCACATTTGTAGTAAAACTTAACTTCCTTATGGTTTCTGTGATTGCCAGGGCAATAAATGTAAGTCATTCAGTCATTGGTAGTTTTTTTCATGTTCTCTTCATCTGAGGTAACAAACCTGTAAGGCTCTGAAAAAGAATTAAGAATGAATGTAATAGATTTGTACTGCTACAGGGACCGACAGGTACAAGAAAAACACCCTCTGTCCCAGAAACACTGGTTTAGTTGAGACCTCCTACTATATAGAGCTGGAGTAGAGAAACCAGCTCATCTACTCTGTAGAATCCAATTGTATTCTTGATCCAGTTCATTTCATCTACTACTTCACAAAATAGTTTGGAGCTGAGACATTTCCATGAAGTAATGTAATTGGAAGATTGAAACTAACTCTTGAAACAACTTAATACCTCATCTTGTAGAACACACTTATCTCAGCCAGTCTTCACAGCAGCTCTGACTTAGAATGGGCTGGTGCTATTGACAGCACCAGGAGAATAACTATCACCTAAGTTATGACTGGGACCAGTCTTGTGAGTTGTATCCTGTTTCACACAGCCACCACTTCTCTCTCTCTCTCTCTTTTGGTTTTTTCGAGACAGGTTTCTCTGTGTAGTTTTGGTGCCTGTCCTGAATTTCACTCTGTAGACCAGGCTGGTCTCGAACTCACAGAGATCCACCTGGTCTGTTTTAAACAGAAAATCTATCCATGTATAAAGACCTAGGAATGTGACCTCTTTTTCTACTTAATTGTACTTTCCTCTCAGAGTTATTTGGTCAGGGTGAAAGCCAGGATGCTGGAGAAGTTGGTGTTTCTCCAGACCCTGATTTGTGACCTAGATCCCTCAGTGCTTTCCCTAACTTTCCTTCTAACTCCCTGTATCGAATTAAAGTTGTGGGGGCAAACAGTGACCATTTATGGCATGGTGACAATGTCTCTGTGCGGCAGGGAGTGTTGTTTCTGTGTGCCCCATAGTAGTGGTCGCCTGGGCTTTTATTAGCAAGAAGATTACAGGGTGGAGACTGCCACAGTGGTAACTGCAGTGCAGTAACTGGAAGAGCCTCTCTTGAGCTGGGTTCTCTTGATGTGGAAGGGTCATAGGTCACTGTACATGGCAGACGAGGACAAGTCTTTAAAATGAATACGGATGAAACGGGAGCAATTAAAGCAAAGCATGGTGATACATTCTTATACTCCCGTATTTGGGAAGTAGAGACAGGAAGATCAGGAATTCAAGGCCAGCTTCAGCTTTATAGTGAGTTTGAGGCCAGCCTGGGAGACTGTCACAAACAAAAAACAAAAGCAAAAAAAAAAAAAAAGAGTACTTACCAAAGAAAGACCTTTGAGTGGCCTGTTGGAATGTGGGGTAGGAGTATGAGAAAGTGGCATTGGGCTTTGGGCTGAATGAAAACAGTGGTTGATAAGTGATTGTGGGAGCCCAGGGCTGGGTAGGAGGGATTTAGGGCAGTTCGGCATGTTCTCTATTTAGTGGCTGAATTAATTCAGTTTGCTGGGCACCTGTTTATCAGTTTCCTCTGGGTACTCTTGCTTGCTGAATGCTGGATACATTCTAAGGCAAACAGGCCCAAGCTTTTGTGTTTGGTGGGGCTCTGGGGAGCGTGGGAAAGAGAGCCTAAGCAGAAGGCCCAGCCTAGGCTAGTCTCCACATGTTTTCTCTACCATGACTATTGCATTGGTTTCTCAATGTCTTTGTGGGCATGCTGGGACTGGGCTTTGAGGTTTCTGCCTTAAGGGTGGGAAGGAGGAGGAAGGGCATTCCAACAACAAATTTCACCCCCAAATTGGTTGCCTGGAACAGAGGCTATGTGGGGGTTTTCCTGCATTATAACCTGGTCTCGTTCTGCATGGAATTAAAAGTAGAGTCATTCTAGGTGACAGAACAATTTGTGCTTTAATTAATCCTACATCCAAGGCCCAGACATCTGAACACAGCAAAATCTAAAGGGTATTTGTTAACATTAAGCAATTCCAAATTGTGTCTTAAATAACTCCCTGTCATTCCCAATATTTCCCCTTTTGTATTTATGCATTGGGTATAGTTTATTTTCTTCCCATTCTCATTTTTCCTACTCATATTTCTGCAGCTCTCTCCTTCCTTTTTGCTGCTTGCTAAGGTGGCTGGGATGCTTCCATGATTTATGTGAATCTAGACTGGGCTGTTCTCTGTGCTAAACCAATCAATTACGACCCTTCTCTTAACAGGTGTGTATGGAATATATGTTTGTTAAACATTACAAATTATTTTAGTTGCCTTCTTTTCCTTAGGGGATTGGTGAGAGGATAGGGAGGGTATATGGGAGGAAAAAAATTCCTTCCAGTTTGCTGTTCAGCAATAAATACATTCTATTTATTATTATTATAATTTTTTTTTGAGACAGGGTCTCTCTCTATGTAGTCCTGGCTGTCCAGAAACTCGATATATAGACCAGGTTGGCTTCAAACTCATAGACATCCATCTGCTTCTGCCTCCCAGGTGATGGGATTAAAGCCATGAGCTACCACACCTGGTCATAAAAACTTTTTGAGACAAGATTTTGCTAAGTTGCCCAAGCTGGCCACAAACTTCTGTAGCCTAGTCAGGCCTTGAGGTTGTGATCTTCTGCCTTCTGAAAAGGTAGGACTAGAGGATGCACCACAGGCAGGACTAGAGGCAAAACCTTATACAGTGACTTGTGGTTTTGTCACTGTGTTGTTTCAGTTAACATGTTTTGTGCTTTATAATGTAGTATAGTTTTGGAAGATGGAAAGACCTTTTCATAAATGTATGGTGGGGCCTTTTGTCTTTCAACTTTGGGAAGTCACCCCGCCCCCGCCCCCGCCCCCCCAGTTTCTTCCTTTTTTTTATTTTAGTTTCTGGAGACAGGGTTTCTCTGTAGTCTTGGCTGTCCTGGAACTCACAGAGATCCTCCTGCTTCTGCCTTCTGAGTTCTGAGTGTGCACCATCACTGCCTGGCATATTTCCATTTCTTAACTGGCATTTTAATTTGGTATGGTTCATCACGCCACTATATTTATAGTGTTCAGGTTTGGGAGAGGTTTAAGTAAAATCTGCTGTCCCATTATCTCGAGGAGCTTGCCCTGCAGGACAGTAAGTGCTTACCTATACCAGGGAGTTAAAACTTGGATTTAACTGATACCTGCAAAATTTTCCAGGGAAAAACGAATCTAATTTTAATCCCATGCCATAGTCTCCCTGTTCTGCCAACAGTGTGGAGACTTTGGTCAAGCTGCCACCTTTTCTTTCACTAGCTGTTGATAGTAGAGTGTAAAAAGAGGGTCGTAGGCAAATGATTCTGTTTGAGAAGACATTGGTGATGGGCTCTAAGCTTGGTTGGTGGTGTCTTGCTTTCTGCACTGCAGTAAAACTACAGAGGGCATCTTTGGCACTGGGGATTAACAATTCACCTGTCTTCTCTGACCTGTGATCTTTTCTCTTCTCTCTCTCTCTCTCTTACCGCCCCCCTCCCTAGTGTGAAGTGAGGGGGCCTACTCCTTTCTACTTCCTCTGTGGTCCACCTTACTTTTTATCCTGCCCCGCGGCGGCTCCTCCCCTTACCTTCATGGACGACTCAGAGGTGGAGTCGACCGCCAGCATCTTGGCCTCTGTGAAGGAACAAGAGGCCCAGTTTGAGAAGCTGACCCGGGCGCTGGAGGAGGAACGGCGCCATGTCTCGGCGCAACTGGAACGCGTCCGGGTCTCACCACAAGATGCCAACACACTCATGGCCAACGGCACCCTCACCCGTCGGCATCAGGTAACCCTCTCCCCATCAAACTTGCAGGTAGGACTTTGGCATGGTCAAGAGAGGCTCTGGATCCTTAACGAGATGCTACTGGCCCTGGGCTGTCCAGTGTGTGTACTTCATGATGAACTGTTCCAGGGATGTGACAAACACTCATTAAGAGATAAAGGATTTGTTGCTGATCTGAGTTGGGTAGACTTTAGAAACCGGTGAGACTTCCTGTTTTGCTGGAGTAGGTTTTCTGGGCAGGGATACAATTCTAGTTATGGTGGTGCAGTTTGGAGATACACTCAAGTCACTTCTGTTTTTGTTGAGATATCTTTTTTCTTAACGTCAAAAATTAGGAAAGAATGCCCACTTAGTGATTGGGGAAGTTGGACAGCTTGAGCTCCTAGCTCCAGTTCAGTCTCATCCAGGGAACAATTTGTTCTCAGAAGGCATTAGAGTATTGGTAAATTGTATATTCCTGTTCCATATTACCCTTGTGTGTTTTTGTTTGGTGTGTAAATCATGTTTTGGAAGGAGGGGTCATTGTTAATCTTTATTGGCTGGAGTTGAAGAGGGAGTATTATGCTATTATTTAACCCAGGTAACCGCAGGAGCCAGTGATGGTCTCTGGGTTAGCTGACTCTGTGATGGATGAAGGGGGTGGGGGTGGTCTTAGAAATGAGAACTATATTGTGTCTCCTATGGTTTATATCTGACTTTACAGTGATGTAATCTGAAGTTTTATCTCTGTGTGTGTGTGTGTAGCGGGAGAGTGAATGCGCATGTGTGCATTTAGTAGACTGCCTGTGAAGAGGTCTCTGAGTGGAATTAGAGCAGTGCTTATGCTCAGGTCTTTTAACTGATTGCTATTTATTTATTTATTTATTTATTTATTTATTCAGTAGTGCTAGAGATTGACTTTAGAGTCCTTAACATGCTAGGCATGGACTCTACCACAGAGCTACATCCTAGACTATTTACTAACGATGAGGAGGTGGGCATGGAACCCAGGGTCTTGTTCATGCTAGGCAGATACTTGGCCACTAAGCAACATTTCCAGACCTTTGAATTTTTTGTTGTTGTTTGTTTTTTGTTTGTTTGTTTGTTTTTGTTTTTTTGTTTTGTTTTTTCGAGACAGGGTTTCTCTGTATAGTTTTGGTGCCTGTCCTGGATCTCGCTCTGTAGACCAGGCTAGCCTCGAACTCAAGAGATCCTCCTGGCTCTGCCTCCCGAATGCTGGGATTAAAGGTGTACGCCACCTTCCACCCTCACCCCCAACCCCCAGTCTGACCTTTGACTTTTTTTTTTTTTTTTTTTTTGGTTTTTCGAGACAAGGTTTCTCTGTGTAGCTTTGCGCCTTTCCTGGAACTTGCTTGGTAGCCCAGGCTGGCCTCGAACTCACAGAGATCCGCCTGGCTCTGCCTCCCGAGTGCTGGGATTAAAGGCATGCGCCACCACCGCCCGGCTTGACCTTTGACTTTTTGAAGATAAGATACTGGTTTGTAGCTCAGGTTGACCTCAAATTTATGATCCCCTTGCCTTTGCCTCCTCAGTGCTAGGATTGCAATCATGTCCAGCTTCTTGTTTAATTCTTAAACCAGTGGTCATAATTGGAATTGGGAATCATCAGGACGTAAAGAGAGACTGTAATGTTCAGGGCAATTTACAGGAACTTGAGTAGAAAGTTAGGGATGAGATAGACTGAACGAAAGTGGGGCTGCTCAGTTTCATAGGTGGTGGGGAATCCCAGGATTTAGTGGTTTCTCTCTTGTTCTTTTATTTTTAACCTCTGCTTAGCAATGAAACCACACCCTGTCTTCTTCCTGAAAGCAATGTTTAACTTCCTCCCCCTGCAGCATTATACTCTATGTAAAGGGGGAATGGGCGGAGGAAGAATCTCCCCAGGTTGTTGGAGCTTAGTGTATTTATTGTATTGGGAAAGGAGCAAGAAATGTGCTTTTATGTGTATACTGTCATTAGGTTATGTCTTGGTGCTTAAGGTAGAGCAATTTAAGAACATTTTAGAATGTATTCTGTGGCTGTAACTTGATAAAGATATTAAGATTTTTCTTGAAGGGGCTTGCCGAGTACTTTCGTTCATATTTGGAAATGGAGAATTAACTCTTCTTTCTTTAAAAGGCTTCTTGGAATGGGAGTTTCCCATGGTAGCAGAGCATGAAGATTCCTAGAACAATAAAGAAGGCCTTTTTTGGGAACCATCCCATCATAGCTTTTCCTACTTGCCTTATATTCTTAGGGCTTTCCATAAAGGTTGTGTGTAGAGGAGTCTATGCTATTTATTCAGCAAATGTTTTTTTTAATGCTTCTCATGTACTCAAGACAGTAGGGATACATCCTTGAAACTACTGACCTCAAACTCTGCGTACTCATGGAACTTCAACGTTCTTACGTTCCAGAGACCCAATCTGCCAGAATTTTAGGCCTGATTCCAACGTTGAGGAAAGATTAAGAAGTCTTTTATGAATATTGACAAGGATTTCAGGCCGCAAACACCTTCTTGAAAGGCCCCCTCCACCCCTTTTTTTTTTTTTTTCTCGTTTGGAAGAAAGTTGTTTGTATTTGAAAGAACAAAGGAAGGCCAGAAAATCAATTGTCTTATGGGCTATGTTTCAGAACGGCCGGTTTATGGGCGATGCTGACCTTGAGAGACAGAAATTTTCAGATTTGAAACTCAACGGACCCCAGGTAATTGTTTTGACTCAAGGTCTGGATGGCTTCATAGCCTTTTATTTCTCTAGTCTTTATGATCATATTGGTGTGCTGGAGTGCTTATCGTAAATATTCATTAATCTTTAATTTAGGAACATAAAAAGGTGCCGTTCCAAATTATATTAGTTTTGTTGATTTAAAAAAAAACTAGCTTTTATCATGGCACTCCTGTCTCCTCATTTGATCCTCATGTACTGCATTTTTTTTTTTCTTTTTGGGTGGGGTGGGGGTAGCCTAATTCTACATAATAGAAAACCTACCTAAAAACTGCCTGGGGAGTATCTGAGGAATAACATAAAACCAGTTGGAAGATAACTCTTGCTGGGCCTGGTGGTGCAAGTCTAATCCCAGTTTCTTGGGAGGTTGAGGCAGAAGGATCAAAAGTTGAAGGCCTGCCTGGGAAATTACTGGAACTTTGTTCCAAAGTAAAAGTAAGAAGAGGGTTCTGGATTGTTTAGTGCTTAGGTAGAATGCTTGCCTAGCATGCACCAGGTGCAACTTCTGGTACCACCCCAAACAAAGTAAAACTCTCTTGATTATTTTTATTATTTTTTTTAAGTCTTAAAAGGTCTTTATTGGGTAAGCTATTTTGAAGTATTACCCAGATGTAGATGTAACAGTTAGCATAGTTCATATTCAAAAATGGGAATTAAATCTTCTGTTTCTGCTACTGGGATGTCAGCATGGTTTTAGTTACCTCTTTTCATGTCTGGGAAATTATATTTACTGTCCTTTTACACAAGTTATTTATTTATTGAGATAGGGTCTCACTTTGTAGTCCTGGCTGTTTTGGAATTTGCTATATAAATTAGGCTGGCCTGGAACTCACAAATAAATATGCCTGTCTTTGCCTATTGAGTGCTAGGATTAAAGATGTGCACTACCATGCCCTGCCTTTTTACAAGTTTAAAAGATGACAACCACTCTTTCTCAAAACCCTGAGGCCAGTGGGGGATGCTGGGCAGATGTCCTGTCTCTAGAGGCACTAACATTTCTTGTTAGGATGGATTGTTACTACACAGATTTAGTTGTAGCTTCCTGCTTTCTTCTCTCATAGGATCACAACCACCTTCTGTATAGCACTATCCCCAGGATGCAGGAGCCAGGGCAGATTGTGGAAACCTACACAGAGGAGGACCCTGAAGGAGCCATGTCTGTTGTTTCTGTGGAGACCTCAGACGATGGGACTACTAGGCGGACGGAGACCACAGTAAGCTGAAATTTGCATGTCTCAGAGTGATAGGTTGTCTGTGGTCTTTTAGTAGAGAGGTTAACCAGGTAGATGGATGCAGGTCACTGATTGCCAGAAAGAAAATGATCACTGAGCATACAGAAAAGGTAAAAGAAATGCAGGGAAATGTAATGGAAGGGGGAAGAGAACAGAGTATGACAGCTATAATAGCTTCCTCAAGAGGCTGCTACTGACAGGGCAGTTTCTCACTTAGGGGCTTCTGTGGGGTGAAAAAAGGTATAGATGACACACAATGAAATGAGTCATTTCTAAGTAAAGATCTAGAAGGTAAGGGAGTGGTGTAGAATTTAAACTTAGATTCTTTATTTCCTTCAATAATTGCTTTTCTTTTTCTCATTGCTTAACTGAAGGTCAAGAAAGTTGTGAAGACGGTGACAACACGGACAGTACAGCCAGTCCCCATGGGACCAGATGGACTGCCTGTGGACGCCTCATCAGTCTCCAACAACTTCATCCAGACTTTGGGCCGTGATTTCAGGAAGAATGGCAATGGGGGCCCTGGGCCCTATGTGGGGCAGGCAGGCACTGCAACCCTTCCTAGGAACTTCCACTATCCCCCAGATGGATATGGCCGACACTATGAAGATGGTTATCCAGGTGCTAGTGACAACTACGGCAGTCTGTCCCGGGTGACCCGAATTGAGGAGCGGTATAGACCCAGCATGGAAGGCTACCGGGCACCCAGTAGACAAGATGTCTATGGTCCCCAGCCCCAGGTTCGAGTAGGTGGCAGCAGTGTGGATCTGCATCGCTTTCATCCAGAGCCTTATGGGCTAGAGGATGACCAGCGTAGCATGGGCTATGATGACCTAGATTATGGCATGATGTCCGATTATGGCACTGCCCGTCGGACAGGAACACCCTCGGACCCTCGCCGACGCCTCAGGTGGGCAGGAACAGGGGATGAAGGGCTCTTTTCCCAGATGGGACAAGGGTAGCATTATCTTCTAAGCTTTTAGGGGTCAGTGACACCCATGGCTTCCTTTCTCTCTTCTTCATGGAAGGCTCATTGAATGTTGATTGGCTGTCTTTTTCTTTCTTGTTACTAGAGTCATATTTTAGTTATACTAAGTGATTTTTTTTTGTTTTTATTTGTTTGCTACTGCTTTTTGAGACAGGGTCTCAGTGGCTCAGGCTGTCCACCAGTCTGGCTATGTAGTAGAGGGTGACCTTGAACTCTTGTCTTCTTCCATCTTCCAAGTCGGGATTACAAGTGTGTGTCACCACAATTGGTGAGAAAGTGATTTGTGGCCAGGTGTGATGACTTACACTTGTAATTCCACTGCTGAGGAGGCTGAGGCAGGTTGATTGCAGTTAAGTTCAAGGCTGGTTTGGACTATTGTGTGGACATTTCTAAACCCAAAAGTGATTAGTGATGGTTATCAGTCTGTGTCCTAAAAGAAGAGACTTGGTTGCTATGCCATAATTCTGCCTAAGATCTGTCTCCTTTTGGGTGATAGTGAAAGGAGCACCACAAAGAGTCTGAGGCCAGGAGGCTGGCCATGTTCACACTCTTGTTTCTGAGAACTTTTTAAGCTACTTTTTTGGTATTAGAACACAATTAAGATTGTGTTTAAGAACTGTCCTTGCAGTAGTTCCAATCCTGATGTTTATAAACAATCACTTTTGATCTAACAGAAGCCCTGACACTTTGTATTTAGTTAGAGTTTTATGAAGGTAGTGAGTCAGGAATGGTACCTTAATAATACTCCCAAAGGTCACTGAGCATCTCTCTGTTCTGAGGATACTTATTCCTTGGGGTGGTCTTTGGTGGCATGAAGGATTACTGTTTGGATGAGCAGTAGTGGCCTTGGAAGAGTATTTAGAATGTGATTGAAAGGTCCACCCTCCCTCCCACCCACGTTCCGTTTGTTCCTTTCCTCCCTTTATTTTGGTTGTTGAGACCGGATATCACTGTATAGCTCTGGCTAGCCTCTAACACACAGACAGCCCCCTGCCTCTGTCTCTTGAGTGCTGGGATTAAAAGCATATACCAACATAGCTGGCTGGGCAGGCCTTTTCTAAAGGACCCGTTTTAGGCTTGGTGTGCTGTGCACTAGTACCTTTGTCACGCCTCTTACTTGGTTTTCATATTTAGAAAAGGTTATTTTAAAAATCCTAAGTTCTGGGTGTGTACAGAAAACATATTTGGTCTTGGGCTGAAAACATTAGTTTAGAATAAATCGGGGTCTATATTTTCCAAGCCAAGAAATAAGGCAAAATTTATAGTTATCTTGATAGTGAGGGTGCCCTGGCAACTGTTGCTCAATTTCTGTATATAGGTTCATGACCTACCAAAGCAAAGGTCTTGGCACTTACTTTTTGAATATATTAGGTAGTATTGGCTAACCGTAAACTGAATTAGTCTGGGGACAGGAGTAGAAGCCCTGTTATCTAAGCCTGAGTCACTGACACTCTTCAGATGGTGTGGTTAGCAAATTCAACTCCCATGTGACTCACCTTTTATTCCTGATGGGGCACCAGGTCTCAGCTGGTGTAAGCTAGCTAGAAGTAGATAGCAGCTATCATTGGAACAGTCTGCCCAGGGAGTGGGGCTGGAGTGCAAGTCTGCTTGCTCTGACTTCCTCATTGGCAAAGAGAGATTAGACACAGATGGGTGTGGATGGCCAGGCCATTCCCTGGTGTCCCTTGAAGTGGCAGTTCACATAGAGAGGGTTTGGGGCTTGGTTCTTGGGTTTGTTCCAGGGTGGCATTGGGCTTGGAAACCTGCTTGACTAGCAAGAACATCTTCAGCTTCCTGTTTCAGGCCTACAAGAACAGTTGCAAGGTCAAACTTACACAGTGAGGCAGTGATTAGTGGGAAAAATCACTGAACTTGAAAACTCTGGTTCTAGTTGTGCCTTTGCCATTATTTATATAGCCTTAAGCAGGTTATTGATCATTTGGGCACTTTTGCTATTTGTTAAAGGAAAGAATTTTTCTAAATGCATTGGTGTTTTGCCTGAATGTATGTCTGTGTGAGGATGCCAGATCCCCTGGAACTGGAGCTACAGATAGTTGTGAGCTGCCGTTGTGGGTGCTGGGAATTGAACCCGGGTCCTTTGGAAGAACAGCCAGTGAATGCTCTTAACCACTGAGCCATCTCTCCAGCCCCAAAGGAAAGAATCTTGATCTACTGCCTATGAAAGAAGGAAGTATAAAGATAAATTTCCTTGAGTGACTAAAAAAAAAATCTGGCAATGGCAATTGTTTTTGTAGTTACTTAAACAAGAAAAGTAAAATCTGCTCAACACATACAGCCTGAAACACCATTCTCTCATGAACAGTTTGGTGGATCCTTGGAGTTTTCTTACATGTGTCTTGTTTTTGTTTTCTCTCTCATTAAAAGGAAACCTTTTTCATATAATGTTTAGCAATCTGCGTTTAAAACAACTTAACTTTATTTTGTTTCACTGACATTATAAAGTGATTTTTAGATTTTTTTTAACTAAATGATTTGTCCCACTGAGTCTTTCATTGTTTAACGGTCAGTGTTGGTACCTGTTAGGCAGGCCGTCTGGTCAGGCTAACTTTGTGTTTGGTGACAGTGGGAGTGGTTTTATGGAACCAACAACAGTCTTATTTGGAGAGTCCCACACAATAGATTCTCTTCTCCCTTGTGGCTCCCACAGGGTGAGATGAGCTCACAGATAATGGGGCTCTTCCTTCCTGGTAGTTATGAATAAATAATAGTATGACAGGCTCGCCCTCTAGTGGTTGGTGGTAGTACTGAAACAGGATAAGTTGCTTTTCACTTGACTTCTTTCAGTTTCTCCCTCTGATCCAAGAGCTGGGACATTCCAGTTCAATGTTGGTTTATAGATGGCACTTTGGCAGAATTAGAAGTATTTAGAAGTTGGAAAATGGAACTCATTCTTGGAACATATTTGTCTGGATAGCATATAAGGCCTTGGGATGAACTGTGACAATTAATGTTCAAGTTTATTCCTCGTTAGTACTAAAGCCAAGTCCTCAACAATGTAGCAGGAAGTCCTTCATTTTTCTTGATCAATTCCTCTTTTATAATTTCCAAAATAGGGCAAGGAAAAGCTTAAATATGAAATGTGTTTAATCGTCTTGTTCTACTAGCTGCTTCCTGTGTGCATATGCCTTGTTTCCTGTTCAGCTAGGATTTAAGAACTAGTCTCAGGGTTTTTGTTTTGAGGGTGTGGGTGGGAGGAGAATGTCTTGGGATAGAATCTTGGTTTGTAGCCCTAGATTGTCTGGACTTTACTATGTAGACCTATCTGGCCTCAGACTTGTGACCCTGTCTCTTGTGCTGGGCTTATAAGCCTTGCTTGTTCTCAGGCTTTGTTTGCTTACTTATGTGACATGGAATCAGTTGCCTTGTATAGCTCTTCTAAGCATTTACGGAGAAGTTAATAGCTGACAGTAAATTCCAAGTAAATACTAAGGAATCAGGATTTGTTGTTTTTGTGATTACCATTATCAAGTACTTTTCTTTCTCAATCAGCAAATTTCACAGGGAAAAAAGAGAGAGGTCTTTAAAGCTCCTGATTTGGTGATAAACCCTGTCTCAAAAAATAAGGTGGAGGGCCATTGAGAAGACTTACATTCACACACAAAATTATTAAAATTGATCATACAGAGGAGATATATGATCTCTATGTAGACCTGGGGTTAATCCTTCCTTGAAGATAATGGATAACAGGAATGTCTAAGGAGCCTGATTTAACTGCTTGGCTCTTGGTTCTTTTCAAAACTGTAGGAGCTATGAAGACATGATTGGTGAGGAGGTGCCACCGGATCAGTACTATTGGGCTCCTTTGGCTCAGCATGAGCGGGGAAGTTTAGCAAGCTTGGATAGTCTACGAAAGGGAATGCCCCCACCTCCAAACTGGAGACAGCCTGAGCTGCCAGAGGTGATTGCCATGCTAGGCTTCCGCTTGGATGCTGTTAAGTCCAATGCAGCTGCATACCTGCAGCACCTATGCTATCGCAATGACAAGGTGAAGACTGACGTGCGGAAGCTCAAGGGTATCCCGGTATTGGTAGGATTGTTAGACCATCCCAAAAAGGAAGTGCACCTTGGAGCCTGTGGAGCTCTCAAGAATATCTCTTTCGGACGTGACCAAGATAACAAGATTGCCATAAAGAACTGTGATGGTGTTCCTGCCCTGGTTCGGTTGCTCCGAAAGGCTCGAGATATGGACCTGACTGAAGTCATTACTGGTGAGTGCTAGGTTGGGAGTCACTTACTTCATAGAGAGGCAGGGATCTAGAGGTTTCTAGTCCATTACCTTTCAGTTAATTAGTTAATTAATTTTGAGGCAGGGTCTCACTAGGTGGCTCTGGCTGGCCTAGAACTCACTATGTTGAGCAGGCTGGACGAACTCGAAGAGATCTGCTTGTCTCTGTCTCCCAAGTGCTGGTATCAAAGGCATGCACCACCATGCTTGGCCAGTCCATTACCTTTTGATTATAGGTTCTGAAGTAGTGACCTTTGGGTCAAATCTGTGAAGCAGATTTGATTGGACGACACATGACACATGCAACCCCGAGACATTCTGCATGCATGTGTGTTTTCTTTTTCTTTTATTTGTATTTATGTGCCTTGGTGTTTTGCCTGCATGTGTGTCGGTATGAAGGTGTCAGGTACCCTGGAGCTGGAGTTACAGTGAGGCACTAGGTGGGAGCTGGGGATTGAACCCAGGTCCTCTGGAAGAACAGCAAATGCTCTTAACTGCTGAGTCATCTCTCTAGCCCCCTTCTCTTGGTTTTTTTTTTTTTTTTTTTTTTTTTTTTAAGACAGGGTCTTTCTCTATACAGCCCTGGCTGTCCTTGAACTTACTATGTAGACCAGGCTGTATTCAACTCACAGAGATCCACTACTAGCCTCTGCCTCCTGTGTTCTGGGGTTAAAGTCATACACCATCATGTTTGGCACATTCTATTTATTTTTTTAAAGATTTATTTATTTATTTATTATGTATACAATGTATATAGCATTCTGTCTGCATGTATGCCTGCAGGCCAGAAGAGGGCATCAAATCTCATTATAGGTGGTTGGGAGCTACCATGTGGTTACTAGGAATTGAACTCAGGACCTCTGGAAGAGCAGCCAGTGTTCTTAACAGCTGAGCCATCTCTCCAGCCCACATTCTGTTATTTTTGACCAACTATAGTGGTAGAGGAACTTGTCTTCCAAACACAGAATTGTCAATTGCTGTTTATTTACAACCTTATAATCTGTTTTAAATGTGTGCTTGTCTTGACTCAACCTGCATGTTCCATTTAGAAATCTGAGCGCCTGGTCCTTTATTTAGAATGAAAATTTTCCAGATTGTACATGGTGATCCATAGTGTGAAGTAAGCACAGTTTTGTGGACCATAATCATCATTCCAGGAGGAAGAAAAATGAATACTACTGATTCTTGAATGGCAGGATATTTTGACCCCCCCCCAGAGGACATCTCCATTGTTGGAGTTGCTTTGGCTGTCATAACTTGGGTTGGGGTAGAGAGTCCTTGGCATCTAAAAAATAAAGGCTAAGGATACTGGTCAACTGGTAAGCATCCAACAATAGACAGGACAACTTCCCACAACAAAGAATTATGTGAACCAAAGTGACCGGGTTGCTGAGGTAGAGAAACTGGTGTAGACTGTTGAGCATAGATTATAGTAAATACTGTTTTGTAAAGCTTTATTTCATGACTGTGTGTCTGTATTGAACTACAGAATAAAATATATCTTACCGTGGGTCATAAGCAGAAAGAAGCCTGACTAACACTACATGGAGTCATATAGACTCTATAATAGAACATATCTGTGATCATTGAGGACAATAAAGAAGGAATAGAATAGGGCTCTGATACTCTTCAGACACAGTTGTCTTGGGTGCTAGAGAACTCTCTGACTTGACCCTGCCAGGAACCCTGTGGAATCTCTCATCCCATGATTCAATCAAAATGGAGATTGTGGACCATGCGTTGCACGCCTTGACAGATGAAGTGATCATTCCACATTCTGGTTGGGAGAGAGAACCTAATGAAGACTGTAAGCCACGGCATATTGAATGGGAGTCAGTGCTCACCAACACAGCTGGCTGCCTCAGGTAAGTGAAGGGTTTTGGTTTTGAGATTACAAAGATTGAATTTTTGCTGGGGTTGGTAATGCAGGCCTGTAAACCTGTCTGAGGCTGAGTGAGTAGCCTGCCTATGCTAGTCAGTCCAAGGCTAGCTGAATACTTTGTAAGACCCTGTCTCAAAAAGGGAGTAGTCTGGAGGCAGGTAAAGTGTAGCTTAGTGGTAAATAAAGTGCTTGCCTGGTTCAATCTTCAATATCACACATACACATGCATCCCAATATTGACTTTTTGAGGGGTGATATAATATCTTTCTTTTTTTTTTTTTTAAATTAGAAGTTGAGGGTTTTTTGTCTGTTTGGTTTTGTTTGCGCCTTTTTTATAGTTTTATTGTACGGTGACCAAATCGAGGGCATTGCATTTCCTAGGCAAGCTTCTTCTCTACTTCAAGCTTCTATTCTGAGGTGTGTTTGACCTCAGCCTACCTGCCTTTGCTGCTTTCTTGTGTGCACCATGTTTTCCTACTCGTGTATTTACTCCCTTCCTTCCTCCTCTCTGACTTTGTTCATCTACTTAGGTAAATACCTGTTGAGAACCTCCCACATACCAGGTTCTTCTCTAGTTATGGACTTGGGTGGGTCTTAGTCCCTGTCTCAGTTATCTGTATTTCAAATTAGGTACCTTGTCATTCCCTGTATTTGTACTTGTATATAATAAATGACTCTTCTGTCTGGATTTACTGATGTTGGTGTGCCCTTCCCACAAGCCCCCATTTTGTGGTGATGGGTATTGGATCCATTGCCTTCTACATGCTTGGGGAAGCTCTCTACCACTTAGCTATATCCCTACCCTTGATGTTCATTCACACATGAGTGCACATGAACACACACACACACACACATGCTTGTATTTGGTGGTGGAAGTGGTGGATAGGGTTTTGCTTTATAATAGGTCCGATCTGGCCCCAAACTTTATCTTCCTGCTGCTGCCTCCCAAGTACTAGGATTACAGGTGTGGACTACCATTTTGGACTGTGGTATACATTTTAAAAATATTAAATGTGTATGGGTGTTTTTGTTTGTTTTTTGAGACGGGGTTTCTCTCTGTAGCTTTGGAGCCTTTCTTGGAACTCGCTCTGTAGCCCAGGCTGGCCTTGAACTCACAGAGATCTGCCTGCCTCTGCCTCCCGAGTGCTGGGACGAAAGGCATGCGCCACCACTGCCCAGCAGTGTGTGGGTGTTATGTCTGCTTATTTATTGGTGCACTACATGTGTGTCTGGTGCCTGAGGAGGCCTGAAGAGGGTGTCAGGTCCTCTGGGGCTGGAACTGCCATGTGGTGCTGGGTATTGATTGCCTGTTCTAGCCCCTGGTATACATTTTCAACCTGACTCCAAGCTTGTAAGCAGTTTAGAAGACAGACTGTCAGTCCGTTTCCAGCCATAAATGCTTTGCTTTTACTGCGTGTTAACTGCTTATTGTGCTGGATAGAAAAGGTTTAAGGAAGCTTCAGATAGAGATGAAGAAAGATATCAGAGGGAGGACTTGAGGGACTTGAGTCATCTTTAGAACTTTGTGTTTTCCCTTAGAAATGTAAGCTCAGAGAGGAGTGAAGCTCGCCGGAAACTCCGGGAATGTGATGGCCTAGTTGATGCTCTCATTTTCATTGTTCAAGCAGAAATTGGGCAGAAGGACTCAGACAGCAAGGTAAGTTAATGAGTGAGTGAGTTTTGTTCACAAGGGAACTGTGCTTCAGATCTACCACTTCAGGCTGTCAGATAATACAAAATACTTAGGCCAACCCCTTCTTCTTAAAATGGACATTGAGTTTAGAAGAAGAGAAGTGTGTGTGTGTGTGTGTGTGTGTGTGTGTGTGTGTGTGTGTGTGTGTATGTATGTACACATGTATACAAGAGGAGAGGCCAGGAGAACATTAGTGTCCTTGTTTATCACTCAGGCACTCTCCACTTTATTCTTTTGAGGCAAGGTCTCACCTTGAGGTTGTATTCTTTGGCTAGGCTAGCAGCAAATATGCCCTAGCAATCCTGTCTCTGTTCCTATAGCACTGGGTTTACAGGTACATTCAAGTTCATGCCTGGCTTGTTGTGCAGCAAGTGCTGTTAGTGACTAAGCCATCTCTCCAGGCTCAAAGATAGTTTTCTTTACACACACACACACACACACACACACACACACACACACACACACACACGTTTCTCCCATATATATTAAAGCTGCTTAGTAGCCTTCTAGACTATACATTTTCTTTCTTTTTGTTTTTTGTTGTTGTTGTTGTTTGTTTTTTTTTTTCAAGACAGGGTTTTTCTGTGTAGTTTTGGTGCCCATCCTGGATCTTGCTCTATAGACCAGGCTGGCCTCGAACTCACAGAGATCCACCTGCCTCTGCCTCCCAAGTGCTGGGATCAAAGATGTGCGCCACCACTGCCAGGCAACTATACATTTTCTAAGTAGGGAAAACAATGACCTACATATGTTGCATTACTATGTAGTTGCAGAAGCCATTATATGTCTGTAATTAGACCTGCTGTTAGCCTGAAGATAACAAGCGTTTTGAGGAGCCTGGGGCACTGAGAAGGGGACCTGAGAGGAGATGGATTGAGTTATGCATTTTAGGATTGATATTTTAATATTCAAATTATGGAGACAATTTCTTGACAGTCGTCATAGGCATTCTCTTTTCTAATTGAACCTTTTGCTTTGTATCCGTAAGCTTGTGGAGAACTGTGTTTGCCTCCTTCGGAACTTATCATATCAAGTCCACCGTGAAATCCCACAGGCAGAACGTTACCAAGAGGCACTTCCCAGTGTGGCTAATAATACTGGGCCACATGCTGCTAGTTGCTTTGGGGCCAAGAAGGGCAAAGGTGAGTCTTAGTTCCTGTTCTTTATATGGGACAGGAGGAACACTTAGCCTTATAGGTACTTACAAATAGTCTGGAAGTCTACCTAGTGGAGACTTGTCCTTTTGCTCTGCTGCTGCTTCCTTTGGTCTAGATGCTTTGATTTTGGTGGTGGTGGTGGTGGTGATGATGGTGGTGATGTGATGACAGTGATGGTTGTTAGTGTGTTGGCACTGGGGCAGTGAAGGATAAGAGCTCAACTAATCTGGGGCCTTCCTCTCGTTTCCTCCTCCTCTTTCTCTGCTTTCTTGTGAACTTGCCCATGATGCTGTTGACATCTTTCTCCTGCGTTTTCTTCCTTCATTTCTCTCCTCGCTTTCCACCTTGGTGATGCACTGGAAGATGAGTGGTTCTCCAGAGGTGAGTGCAATCTTTTAAGGCACTTGTCTCCTTCTAATGTGCATGTTTTGGTTTTTGCCTTCCCCAGTATTTCCTTGTCTAACCCTTTCCTGTGGATGCATGTAGGAAAATTTAGTTGAGGAAAAGCATTGAAATAAGTTTAGCTGGGTTGTGGCTTTGACATGCTATTTCTGGACAGTAGTCTCTGTTATCAGAATTCAGTTAATAGCAGTAAAAGTGGTTATCCTTTTTGTACCAATCTACTGCCTGGTTTTGCCCCTTGTTTCTGCATCACACCTGTTCAGACAGGTGTGTGTGGGGTTCCCTTCTTTTGCCTGTTTTGATGCTGCATCTCTGATCTGAAGATTCTGACTAAAGGATGAAAAACTGAGGTGAAAACTTCCTTTAAAAGTTCTTTACCAAATTCTCTCTACCCTTCCCCCATTTTTATAGGGAAAAAGCCCACAGAGGATCCAGCAAGTGATACAGTGGATTTCCCTAAAAGAACTAGTCCTGCTCGAGGTAAGTTGTCCTTTTTCTCAGTCTCCAGAGATCTCAGATATAGTTTTTGCATATGTAACATATTTTATGCACTGTATTAATAATTGTCTCTGACTTGTTGGATTTGAAGTGATGTTGAAGTATTGGGAAAATTCACAGAATTTAGTCTCAAGTCAGAAGCTAGTCTGTGTGTAATGGTAATGCCTGCAAATAGTACTTGGGCAGCTGAGGCAGGAGGATTGCTGTGAGTTCATAGCCTGATTAGAATATATAGAGAGAGAACGCCTCAGAAAAGAAAAGACAGAAACTTAGCCAGTAAGTGCTCACTGTAGTTTTTGGACCTTACTGTTAGAAGAAAATCTCTTTGTCACTGCTTGGATTTTGGAGCCACTGTATCAATGAATATAAATTTGCTAGCTTTCCATAAATATAGAAGACTTTAATTAAAGGGTGTTAAATCTCAGGCTGTCCCTTTCATTTAGTTATATTCATGGTGAGGTGAGTTACTGAGTTAAATTAGAAATAATTTGTTTGAGAGGTTGAATCATTAAGCCTGATTGCTCATGGTGAAAACAAGGCTTAAGTTGGCTATGGGGTACAAGTCAAGGAGGAAGGAGAAAGGAATTGAATGTGATAGGATTGATGTCTATTCTGTTTTTACCATGGACTAGTTGTTGTTATTTTAGGGTTTTTTGTTTTTGTTTTTTTTCTCCTTTTGCTTTGTTTTTTTGAGATAGGGTCACACTATGCAGCTTTGGCTGTCCTGGAACTCTCTCTGTAGACTAGGCTGGCTTCAAGCTCACTGACCCATCTGCCTCTGCCTCCCAAGTGCTGGGATTAAAAGTGTGTACACTGCTTCAGGCTACACTAGTTATCCTTAAGGCATGGAATCAGCTGGACCTGGTGGTACGTGCTTGTAGTCCTAGTACTTCATAGGCTACTCTAGCACTTGAGAGGCTAAGACAGGAAGATTATGAGTTTGAGGCCAGTCTGTGTGACATTACAAGACCCTGTCTTAAAAGACACAACAAAAACCTAAGAAGAAAGAGATGTAGAGCCTAATGATGGAGATGCAGAACGGTAGGCAGCCAGAGCCTGGTTTGTAGGCATCGATGAGCATCTTCTGTCTTGCCCTTTCTTGTACAGGCTATGAACTCTTATTTCAGCCAGAAGTGGTGCGAATATACATTTCACTCCTTAAGGAGAGCAAGACGCCTGCCATCTTAGAAGCCTCTGCTGGAGCTATCCAGAACTTGTGTGCTGGGCGCTGGACAGTGAGTACCTCTGAGAAAATGGATCTGGAGATAAAGAACTTAGATAACTAGTTTGCTGCCATTTGTAATCTTCTCACCGCTTCCCATGTGCTTCCTAGTATGGTCGATACATCCGCTCTGCTCTGCGTCAAGAGAAGGCTCTCTCTGCCATAGCTGACCTCCTGACCAGTGAACATGAACGAGTAGTGAAAGCGGCATCTGGGGCACTGAGAAACCTGGCTGTGGATGCTCGGAACAAAGAATTAATTGGTAAGGATTTGAATCAGTGCCTAGCACAGTGCCTGGATTCCAGCAAATGTTTAGTCGTTTGCTGATGTCATCGAAGAGAAGGATGCTATACTCTTCCTTAGTTTATATATCTGAGTATTGGTGAAGGTTCATGGTTTAGTGGTTCTTAAAAAAGCAAGAAGTGATGGTTCTTCAAAAACATTATAGCCACTATTATTTGTTGAATATCTGCTTTTTCTCTCTTTCCCTAGTCATTGTTAAGAATTTTTCTGTTTTTTCCATTTGCCCAGAATTAACATAGTTAGTTAGTGGCAGAGCCCAAGTTGTTGATTTTTTTTAAATTCATAAAGAACTCTGTCCCACTGACTTATCATATTATAGTACTGAACATACTGTTTTCATTAGTGTGAAGAGACCAGACAGTGTATTTCGATATCCAGCATCACATTGTCTTACTGCACTTGAGGAAGGAGGACGGGCAGTGAGTTCACGGCTGTCTCGTGTCCTTTGCCCCTTTGATATAATCTCATGTGATAATGAAGTTGATTTGTATGACTCGAGCTCACACTTGACCTGATTACTGTAAAATGTACTGGAAGGCTCCCCTTGACCTGACTGACGTTTCTCCCCACACGTGTTCCTTTTGTCTTGCTGCTATAGGCAAACATGCCATTCCTAACTTGGTAAAGAATCTGCCGGGAGGTCAGCAGAACTCCTCCTGGAATTTCTCTGAAGATACTGTGGTCTCTATTTTGAACACCATCAATGAAGTTATTGCTGAGAACTTGGAAGCTGCCAAAAAGCTTCGAGAGACCCAGGGTATTGAGAAGCTGGTCTTGATCAACAAATCAGGGTGAGCTTATATTTAATCGGAGCTGGAAGAATTTGAGTATGAGAGAAGAGCTTTCAGAAAGGAGCTGTCCTCTTCTGTTCTGAGCTTACTTCCCCTTATATTACCCTGTGACATGTAGAGAGATAATGGTCTGTTTTCATTCTTAATGTTGGTCTGTACATTGATAATGGACTCTTACACATCCAATTAGTCTATGTCAGTGTTTCAAACAGAATATACAATTTGGAGAAAATTTGCTTTCACCCATTTTACATTTTTATATTCTTGTGCTGTTAGAGCAGTGGTTCTCAACCTATGATGACCCCTTTGGGGTTGTCGCCTTCACAGGGGTCATCTAAGACCATCAGAAAACACAGGTGTTTACAGTATGATACATAATAGTAGCAAAATTACAGTGATGAAGTAGCAATGAAAATAATTTTATGTTGGGGGGCTCCCCACAACATGAGGAACTGTATTAAAGGGTTGTGCATTAGGAAGGTTGAGAACCACTTCTTAGAGGGTACAGGGTCAAGATTCCCTGGTCTTATAGCCAAACTTTGTATGGTGTTACTTTCCTTTATAGGAATCGCTCAGAAAAGGAAGTCCGGGCAGCAGCTCTTGTCTTGCAGACAATCTGGGGCTATAAGGAACTTCGGAAGCCACTGGAAAAAGAAGGCTGGAAGAAGTCAGACTTCCAGGTGCAATACTCTTCACCAAAGCGTTGGCTTTTTTTCTCCTTTGGTTCTTAGCTAGTGCCTCTGATATTGACTATCATACTAAACCCAAGTCTTTCAGATATTTGCTATACTACCTCTTAATACAGTGGTGCCCACAGTTTATTTTTGCTGATATTGTTCTACTCTCTCGACGTTGAACATGGCAGTACATGCTGGTGGTGGTGAATAGAGATGATGTACTCTGACCCTTCCATGTGCTTACCATTCTCTGATTCTTCTTCCTCCAATCCCCAAGTACTAGCCTTATAGATAGATAAGTGCTACTACCTAGCCTCAGATTCTTTTTCTGAAGAGTCATAGTTGTCAATAGGAGCCTAGAGATTTAAGCCCATTAGGGGAAAAATGTGTGAGTAAGCGCTAGGACAGGTGATCATGGAGAAGGAAATCAATGGTCCTTAAGAGCTTCTGAAGCAGGAGGTGCATGGTTAGGAGGAGGGGACAGAAAGAAGTGGGTATGTTCAGGTTTCTATGATATTATGTTTTTGTTTGCCTCCAGGTGAATCTAAACAATGCATCTAGAAGCCAGAGCAGCCATTCATATGATGATAGCACCCTCCCACTCATTGACCGGAACCAAAAATCAGGTATAGTAAACAAGAGGTGCTCCCACCATTATTTAATGTCGTATTAACTAAGAAATGGGGTATGTATGTATTTCTAAAATGAGCTAGACCCTGAATAATGCTTTGGAGTAATGCTTTGCCTCAGGATTATAATGTGTAAGAGAATGGGTTTGAATTGAGAAATTAAAACAGACAGGGAAGGGTGTGGTGGTGCACACCTGTAATCCCAGTCCAGGACTCCAAGGCGGAGGAAGGATCAGTATGTCAAGGCCAGCCTTGGCGACATGAAACTCTGTCTCAAAAGAAAACAAGGCCGGGCAGTGGTGGCGCACGCCTTTAATCCCAGCACTCGGGAGGCAGAGCCAGGCGGATCTCTGTGAGTTCGAGGCCAGCCTGGGCTACCAAGTGAGTTCCAGGACAGGCGCAAAGCTACACAGAGAAACCCTGTCTCGAAAAACCAAAAAAAAAAAAGAAAACAAAACCAAAATCAAAGCAGTTGGTGAGCTTGAGTGTGGCTCCTATTTGCCTGTGGACTTAGAGAGTGAGGCATAGTTTTTCTGTTTCATTTCTTCCTCTTTTAAATTTTTGTGTTCTGTTGATTAATGTGCTTGGTTAATTATTAGTGCTTTTCCAGTTGAAAAATTAAAAACTACTGACAACTAGAAAGTCTGTTATTTCTAGTGTCTAGAGAAAAGCACCACTAATTGCTGTTTTAGTTTATAGCTCTGTGTGTGTGTGCTTGTGTTTTTGTGTTTGTGTGGCACTGGAGATTGAATGCAGGGCTTTCTAGGCAAGTGTTCTATGCCCCTAACTGAATTAGAGCTTTTTAAACCACTTTACCATAGATGAATTATATATTTTGTATATATTTTTTCTCTTTCACTGAAATTATGTACTGTAACCCTTTTTACCTTAATGATTTGATTTGACCCATGGCTTTGGAGTGTGGTACGAGGGCTCCAAAACTCTTGGACATGTGTGCCGATGGCATAGAAACAGTGGTGCTTGCTACTGGCTGCTCAGCATAAATGAGGGTAGCAACACTGATCTGAACAAGTGATTTTCATTGCCATATACTCTATAAAAAGCCATCTTCATTCAGGAGCATCCTTGATGGAGCTGTAAACATTAATACCCCCAAACGCACATCATTTAGATGTGTAGTGCTAATGAGGACATGTACAGCACTTGTGCTGTGTAGGGAGCCACTGTGGATGTCTTGAGGCAGACTATAGGTGTTAGCTTATTAGACTACCTATTTTTTTATAGAGTACTATTTTACTTTATGAAGCAGCTGAGACATGGTTATTTGTCAAGCATTTCCACAAAAGTAAATGTGGAAACCTTATCGCTTTGGTTAAAAAACTGAGGCCAAAGCGGGACGGTGGTAGTGCACACTCTTAATCTCACCCCTCAGTAGGCAGAGGCAGGCAGATCTCTTGTGAGTTTGAGGCCAGGCTGGTCTGCAGATTGAGTTCCAGGACAACCAGGGTTACATACAAAGAGAAACCTTATCTCAAAAAAACAAACAAACCTTGTCTCAAAGCAAAACAAAAACACCACCAACAAAAAACTGACAGTATTTGCTACCTGAGTAAACAATAAAATTTTGGCTGAGTGTGGTGACTCATCCCAGCACTTGGAAGACTAAGGCGGGGAGATCGCCATTTGTTTGAAGCCTGCATGGGCTACATAGGGAGTTCTAGGCCAACCTGAGATGTAGAATAAGACCCTGTTCTAAAACAAACAAACAAACCCAAAGAAAATCAAATTCATGTTTCTGAGTCTGGTAACTTCCCAATACTTAAAAGGCTTTTTCTAGGGCCATCAAGGTAGCTAAGCAGGTCAGCTCACTTGCTTCTAAGCCTAACAACCTGAATTCCATCCCTGAGAGAGAACTGACTCCTGAAATTTGTCCTCTGACCACTATATCCATGTCCTAATATGGATGGACGCGCGCATGCACAGACACACACACACAGACACAGACACACACACACAATGTAATAATAGAAAAGTTAAAAAACAAGGTGTTAAGAATAGAAATATCAAATTAAAAAATGGCTTTTATGATTATATAAGTGGTGATACAAATGTGTTTTTAAAATACACATACATACTAAAATCTGTTAATTTTATAACGTTTGCATTGTTCTATAAACCATTATCTTGCGGGGAGACAATGCCATGACATTTCAGATTCCTATATGAGTAATGTTCCATTCTAGGGCAAGACAGGCTAACTCATTTATTTTTTGTGGTTTTCTTGAAGGAGGGTCTTGCCATGGACCCTACAATTGCCTGGAACTTACTATATAGAACCAGGCTAGCCTGGAACTTGCAGTGATCCCCTACCTCTGCCTTCCAAGTGCCAAAATTATGGGAGTATGCTTATTAATCAAAGTTAAGAGGTATACAAAAATGTTAGACAGTGCTCCCCACCTTGGGTGTCTTTGTCTTTAAAATTTATTATTATTGTGTACATGTTGTGGGCACACCCATACTGTGGCTTTCAGTGGAGCTCAGGGACAACTCTGGAGCTGGTTCTTGCAGTTCTGCGTAGCTTCTGGGGATCAGACTCAGGCTGCCAGGCTGGCACAGCCAGTGCTTCATCTGCTGAGCCACTCATAGTGCCTTTTAAATTGAAGATGTTTATGATAGGTAATACATTTATTTCTAAGTGGGTTAGTTGTTTACATTTCTGAATATAGTAATGTGTATTTATTCCACACCGATAAAAGTCCTTTGCATCCTCATTTATTTCCTGTGTATGTGATTGGGGACTGAATCTAAGGTCTTATTTCTGGTGGCTAATGCCTTACCTACTTTTGAGCCACATCTCCAGCCTAGACCCTCATAATTTTAAGACAAAAGGGGCTTTGAGATGTCATAGCTCAGATTACTGAAGTACTTTTAATTTGTTTATTTGTTTGGGTGTGTAGGTACATATGTGGCGGTCAGAGGACAACTTGTGTGAATCAGTTCCTTCCACAAGTTGGTTCCAGGGATGAAACTCAGGCCATCAGGCTTGGCAGCAAGTACCTTTATCTACTGAGCTGTCTTCTGGCCTCTTTAATGTTCTTGTCTTTAGGTTTCTGTATGAAAGGGATCAAAGTTCTGTGAGGGCTTTCCTATAACTGTAGGCTGTGATTAGTACTTGGCAAATAGTATGTGCTGAGTAAAACTTTATTTGAATAAAGACAGGGAAGGATGGCATGCCAGAGAGAAATGTCTACTTAATATAGATCTTGGAGTATTGGATTTTGATTTGAATAACTTTCTAATTCCATATAGATAAGAAACCTGACCGGGAAGAAATTCCAATGAGCAATATGGGGTCAAACACAAAATTATTAGGTAGGTGATGAATTCCTGTCTAATGTTGCAGAATAGTGTGTAATTGGGGTGAGTAGGTATTTTCTCCTTTTCTTTTCTCTTTTCCTTTCTTTTTTTGAGACAGGGTTTCAAGTCATCTAGGCTGGTCTTGAACTCAACTGCAATTGAGGTTGATCTTGAACTCTTTCCTGATCCTCTTGCCTCTACCACCAAGTGCTGGGATTACAGATATGCTCCACCATGCCTGGATTTTTTTTTTTTTCCTGTAGCTTTTTACCCCCCTAAATACCCTTATCATTTACCATTCCTGAAGTACTGTGATTGGTAATCTCCATTTGAAAGGATATCTAGAAATATAATAAAATTTGATCAATCCCTGCTCTTTTCTACATTTTCACGTGTTTCTGTGGATGGGATGATCTTTCTTAAATTTTCTTAATTTTTTTTTTCAAAACATTTTTTTTTTATTTTAATTTTTTGAGACAAGATCTCTCTATGTATTCCTGGCAGTCCTGAAACTTACTTTGTAGAACAGGCTGACTTTGAACTCACAGGGATCTGCCTGCTTCTGCCTCCCCTATGCTGCGATTAAAGGTGTGTGCTGCCATGCCTGGTTTATTTATTTATTTATTTTTATGGGTATGAGTGTTTTGCTGGTATGTTTGTTTGCTGTATGTGGTGCTTCTTGCCCTCAGAGGTAAGATCCCCTAGAACTGGAGTTAGGGATGGTTGTGAACTACCATGTGAGTGATGGGAGCCTAATCCAGACTCTCTGCAAGAGCAGCAAGTGTGTTGAGCCATCTCTCCAGCCCCTGACCTTGAACTCTTGATCTTCCTCTTCTAACAGATGTTCTCAGAAAGTCTTGTTGTGTCCATATAATCTGCCCTGATCTCGCTCTGTTCTTTCTCTCTACTTTCAGTTTAGCTGATCTACTTGCTGCCCCCCCCCCCCCCTTTTCTTTCGAGGCAGAGTCTCCATAGCCCAGGTTAGCTGTGAACTTACAATATAGCTGAGGATGACCTTAAATTCTTGGGCCTCCTGCCTGCCTGCTATTCTTTCTCATCATTCTACTTTATTATTTGTTATTATTAGGGTCTCCCATATCTCAGACTGAAATTAAACTCAGTATATAGCTGAGGATGACCTTGAACAACTGTGGACCCTCCTCCCTTCATCTCCCAAGTACTGCAATTGTAGGTTTACATCAGGACACACAACTCATTGTGCATTATTTAAAAGCCTTGGTATATTAAGCCTTCTACTGGAATGTCCTTCCCCTTTGCTCTTCTAACTTTTCATTCCCAAAGGCTGAACTTAAGTTGTGTTTTGCTTCGTCAGTTCCTTCCAGTTGCAGCTTGTTTCTGTTTTCTCCTAATTTCAGGGCGGTCTATAAGCAAGCCCAGTCTCTTTAGTATTACCCACCATAGGACACTGTTGTTCATTGTTATTCATTTGTTGTTTTCGCCGTGATGGTAATAGAGTCTAGGCCAGCCACTCTAGCATTGAACTACATCCCTAGTACTGGGTATTTCACATACATTATCTTCTCCATTATATTCAAGCTATGTTTAAGTATTAAAAAGCATCAGTCTTTAATGCTTTGGGGCATCTGAAACAGCTCGCTTCTCTATCAAGGTGCCTAATTCAGATACATTGTATACTAGAGGGAATATATTGTTTCTGTGTACTTTCCCCCTCTAGATAACAACTATTCCACACTGAATGAAAGAGGAGACCACAACAGAACACTGGATCGATCTGGGGATCTGGGTGATATGGAGCCATTGAAGGGAGCACCCTTGATGGTAAATCCTTGTTATATACTGCTGTGTATATGAGACTGATAGTATTTTGAAACTATATGATATATGAAATGGGGAAAGAAAAGAGAAAGGTAATGTCTTTCTTTGGTAGGTGTTTTCAGGAAAAAGTAGAGGTTTTGATGCATCTTGAAGTTTCTTGGGATGCTCTTCATTGATTGTGTTGGAGGAAGTCTTTGCAAGTGTTATTGATGTGACTAACATTAACTAATCTGTTCTATCATACATCACCCTCTTCTTTCACTTACCTTGAGGGTGTTTTACCCTTTTACTTTTAACAGTGTTTGTTTACAAACTTGGGATTTTCCTGATTGGCACATAGTTAGAGGTTCTTATCTTGGCTCTCTTACTAACAAATTGCATGTGTTCACAGCAGGACGAGGGGCAGGAATCTTTGGAGGAAGAGTTGGATGTGTTGGTTTTGGATGATGAGGGGGACCGAGTGTCTTACTCCCCCATGGTATGTCCTCCAGTCACCCCTAAAATGGCCCTCAAGAAGGAGGCCTCTGTGTGCCCACTCTTTGCCAATCATGTTGATCTGATCAGGCCTGAGACACTTGTCTGAGGCACGTGGGGCCCAAGGATTTCTGCTTCTGTGATCCTGACCTCTTCAAAGCCTGGGATGCAGTGGGTGATCTGATTCTCTGTTGTGTGCTGCTTTCCTGCCTCCAGATTTACTCAGCTGCCTTGTTCTCCAGGTCTTCCTGTTCTCAACCTTATTAACAGCTTTCTCTTTTTTTTTCCTACAGCAGAAGATTTAGCACCACTCTACCTGCTCCATTTGGGCTTATAATATATTACTTTTATTTTTTGGTGGTGAAATGGACTGATGATTTTTTTTCCTTTCTTCGCTGGACTATTGTGCCAACTGCCAGGCTGCCTCCTACCCTTATAGCCCAGAGTGGCTGCCTTCATTCCATCAATTCCCAACATCTTCTACTGAAGTTTAATTGTCCTGTCCTCCCATCCCCTACCTCCAGTTTTCCCCAAGAAACCTGACTCAGTTATTTGCATATCTTGAGAAACTGCTGCAGATTAGCTCTTTTTGCCAGCCCTCCCTGGACCCTCGGCCTGTGTGGAGGGAGGGAGAAAGTGGAGCTCTTCACTGGAAGCTGTGGGAAGAACTGAAAATTGCACGCTGTGTATGCGTTATTCAGCATTCTGACAAACTGATGACTTTAATCAAGACTGTCTTTCTTTCTGGTGGGGAGGGAACTTTTAATTTTGTTTTGGATAATGGGAAGTATGAGTTCTTCCCTTATCCAGTGGCTTTTTTGAAGCCAAGAAGGCTGGAAACAGTGGCACATTCCACCTGGCAAGGGCCCTCGAGTAAGTGAGGTACTCCTCAAACTGGGATTGAGAACTCTTGTTCCTCCTGTCCGAGGCAGGGACCACAAAGGACCTACAGACTCCATCTCTTCTGTCAGCTTCAGGCCAACCTTGGGGTGCTGCCCTGACCAAGGCTGTCCTCAACCCTCCTCTCTTACCCTGTGATAAATCTGCTAACTTGACTTGGCCGTTTGCAAGAGGCTATGTAAAAAAGAGAATGCCATGGAACACTTCTTGATTGAGAAGAAACAGAAAGATTGTCTTTTGGGGAGAAGATGAACCTCTAGGAGGAAATAGAAGGAATGTACATGAAGTGGTTAGTCTGAAACTGGCAGGAAGCTTCAAAGCTGGCTTTCCCCCCACCTTCCCCGCCCCATTCTCTTCTTCCTTTATAGGCTGGTCCCTCCTCCTCCCCCTCCCTGGATCTGTTGGCCAACTACAAGACTTGTACATAACTCCTGCCCCCTTTGCCCTTCTAAGGTAGGAGTTGCCCTGGCTTTGCCTCTTCCTTGTGCCTTTGGCCTGGGGTGCGTCTCCTCCCTCTCTTCCACGTGCCTTTCTTTGCCTCTGCAGTCTCATTTCTCATGATTTTGCAAGTTAGATTTTGTTATTTTCTTACCCACAGTTGACCCTCAGTAGCCGAAGGAAAGGAGTGGTTACCTAAGGAACTTCAAGTCCTCCTTGGGGATTGTTCTAGCCTCTGATTTAGCCAACAGTGTACAGTTGGAATTGGTGACTATCCTATCCTGATAAGTCTCAAAGTGAGGCTGGTGGGAGGGAGTGCCATGACTCTTACTCCTTAGTTGTTCCCAGTTCCCATTATCTGAAAGTTTATAGGGAATCAAGGGTTTCTCTCCAGTTCCTTTGCCTCCATCATACCCTGTCCAATTGTAGGGAATGTTACAGGTTGGGCTAGAGAATCAGCTACTATCTGGGTTGATTTTTTTTTTTTTTTAATTTTTTCCCTTATTTGCCTTTGTTCCTTAATCCAAAAGCTCTATTCAATGCAACTGGAATTCTTTATCCCTCTTGTCCTGTTCCTTAATATACTGAGGCTATGGGGTGGGAGAAAAGTGCACAACCCACCAACCCCTTTCCCTATGCATTACAATTCCCTTTTTTTTCCCTTTTTTTCTTTTTTTTTAACTGTTTGTTTCCCTCCCATTTCTTCTTACCCCCATCCACCTTTTCTGGCAGAAAGGAGCCTCTCTCCCTGGGACCCTCAGAGTACACTGCACAGGGAGCCTTCCCACCCAGACCTGGCTCTATTCCTGGTTTCTTTTGTCCTCCTCTGCTCTTCCTGGTGCTCTTTTTCGGTGGGGTGTGGGTAATAGAATAGCCATGGGCTTTGGGGGACCTTTAACTGTTTTTTTGTTTTGTTTTGTTTTGTTTTCCTCTTTCATTTATAAACACTAAACATTCAATTTCAGCAAACCAAAAATCCTACCTTCCCACCGAACACTACTAAGGGGCATGTCTTCTGCTCTATATCTTTTCTCTTTTCTTTCTCTCTTGTTAATGCTTTTAAAAACAAATGAGTTTTTTATATAAATAAAGTTTTTAAAGTGTGTATGTGGGAGGTCTGTGTCATTTCTTCACTTCGAGCTGTATCTCCTCCCTCCTTTTCATCTTGATTATTTTGGTGTCAGTGTTCTTTTTCTTTTCAGAGCTGCCAGAAGGCGGTTGTCTCAGGATGGGTTCACTTTTGTTTCGGTCCCAAGTCTTATGAAGGAGCATTCTTGGAACACCCCCAACACGAGTCTCCAAGTTACTCGATGGCTGAAGTGGAGCAGGTGGACTTAGTAGAGATAGAAACTGCACAGTGCAGGCTGACAGCCTCCTCATTCTCTGGGGTTTTCCCACATCATTTGACAAAAGCAACACTGAGCAAAGCCCTCGGAAGACATGCTCTTTTGAACACAACACATTGAATCTAGATGGGTAGAAGCTGGCAATCCCCACTGCCACCTTAGTAAATGTGAAAGAGTTCAAAGTCCTCTGCACTAATCACAGGCCATGCTGATACTTCTCAGGCCGAATGGAGTGGGTGAGGCTGTTTGATAGGATGTTCTGCCAAACTGTATGGTTAACAGAAATCAGATTACTGGGGGTTATCTTGACGGCAGATGCCGAAGATTCAGACTTCAGAAAGACACTTTTCCAGGGCCCTTAATGTGCTGTCATGTAATTTAAAAACCTCAAGAGAATTTGTGTAAAATTCTTCAGTTAAAATTATTTGGCTGTTCAACATCACCACATTATACTAGATTTAAGTATGAGACTTTTTTGGGTTTATGGGATCAGGCAACCCAACCACCCCCACCCCCACCCCCGCCCGCACAGTAGCTTAAGGCTTAATTTGTACTTACACCTGTAGTCTTAGATCTGAAGAATAAAACACAAAAAAACAGTTTGCTCTGCAGCAAGGTTGGATTTTTATGTATGTAGAAAACCCTGGCCATTGGTACTGCAGTAGATAGAAACCCTACTGCAGGCTGGCCTTAAGCTTGTGATCCTCCAGCTTGTCTCCTCAGTGCTGGAATTACAGGTGCACATCACCAGGTTCAGCTACACATGTATTTTTCAAAGATCTAGATCACGCATACTGCTAATCCCAGTACTCTTGTGGCAGACACCAGCCTGGGCTGCATGGCAAGACAGTCAATCAATCAATCAATCAATCAGTTTTTCATACTCATACCTAAAATGAAATGTTGAAGTGACTGGTCTATAAAAGCCCTATATGTTAAGTTTCTTTGGGTTTGTTTGGTTTTTAAAGCCTCACTCTGTAGCCCTGACTGACTTGGAACTCACTATGTAGATCAATTTGATCTTGAATTTGCAGCAGTCCTCCAGCCTTTGACTCCCAGGTACTTGTGCCATGATGCCTGATTTTCTGATGAATTTCTTGACAGACTCAACAGTGCTTTTGAGGCTTCTTAATACTTCTTGCTCCTACTAACATTAGAAACCTTTAGGATTTGTTCCTTTGTGGCTCTTCTTAATAGTTTTTTTATTTTTGGTTTTTTTTGTTGTTGTTAGCTTTTATTTATTTTTACTTTATGTATATTTTGCGTGCATGAATGTCTTGCCTCACATGCGTGCAGTGTCCAAAGAGACCAGAAGAGGGTGTTGGATCCTCTGGAACTGGAGTTGTAGATGGTTATGAGATGCCACGTGGGATGCTGGGAACAGAACCTGGGTTCTCTGAAGAGCAGCCAGTGCTCTTAACTGCTGCCCTTCTTAGCACTTTTACAAAAGTTTTTTTCCTTATTTATATGTGTGTGTGTATCTGTATGAGTGTATGCCAGTTGTGTGGGTGCCCCTGGGAGCCAGGGAGGGCACCAGATTCTCTCAGAACTAGAGTCACAGGCAATTGTGAGCTGTTAGCTGTGGGTGTTTAGAATGAAGCTTGGATCTTCTGGACTCAAAGCAAGTGCTCTTAACTGTTAAGCTATCTTGCCATCCCCCTTAGTACTTTTTTTTTTTTTTTAAAAGCATTATAGAATCAGTAGATCTAGTTTTGCGGACATAAGCAAGTACATAAGAATTACCTTGGTCTGTTGGTTGAAAATGTAGATTCCAAAACTGACTGGTGAAACATGGCCTCTAATTCTAGTATTTGGGAAGCTGAAGCAGGCTACCTACAAATTTGAGGACACCTGGGCTGTGTTACCAGATTCTTATCTTAGAAAATAAAAAGATCAACCCACACTCCCCCAAGCTTCTGAGGGATGGGCCTATAGCTCTGAGCTGGAGTGCTTCCCTACAGGCACTAGACCATGGGTACTGTACCAACACCACAACAAATTCCTATGTTTCACTGTGGAAATTGATTCATAGGTTGGTCTTGGAAATCTGAGCTTTGTAAAGTAAGTGCTATAGGTTATTGTATGTGGTTATCTGCCTTGAAACCATGGTCTAGGACATTTGCTTATTTTCTGTGTGGAACCTGGGATGACAGACCAACTCTTTTGGCAACAGTAGTGAGTATAGATAATGTGATGATAACCACAGGAAGATAATTCATAAAAGGAAATATTTGTTTCAGAGGAAGTGCAGAGACTGTGAATTCTAGTACTTCTCTATCCTGCAAATCATCCAGGTAATTCGCAGGCTGCCAAGGGCAAGCTGGCCCCGAATATGGTGCCCTTTAAGGCAGAAAGAATGTCCTGGATTATGAATTAATGAACTTCTTCTGTCTACAAAAGGGTACTTCAACTAGGGAGTAAATGGTTCTATTGTCCAAAGCCAAAGAGGTCAGGTATGAAAATGAATCATTCCAGAGAGAGGGCCTAATTCAAGAAAACAAACATGAAAGAAATAAGATACTGCCTGAAGCAAACTTATTTTCATAGAACAGACTTCCTGGCTTTTCTGCTACCCAACTCTCCCTTAAGACATTAGTTCAATGCTTAGTACTTCGGCTGTTTCACCCAGGATTACTGGCAGATGTGAAAGGAAAGAAAGATGGAGAAGCAAGGTAGATAGTTGCTATTGAGAACAACTTCTTGGATCTGTTTGCATTGTGACAGCTTTGAGTTTTTATTTTGTGTAGCGTACAGTGACCAGGGCCAACAAGCCACAAGTGAACTTCGTTGGGAGCTTCACCCATGCTGCTACGATTGTAAGAATTTCAAGCATTTTTATAAGCATGTGACAACTGGTCTTTTTCTAGTACTTGAGAGTACTACACCTGTCTCTATCCGTTTCTAGTTTTGTTGCAGCAAAGGACAGCCACTTCTACTTTTGAAGACACAAAGGCTATGTCTTGCTGCCATTTCCTGATATCTCTAGTTCTATTGGACAAACAGTCCAAATGCTGAAATGTACCCAAAGAAAAGGAATATAGGTGGGACTCCTGATTATGTTCATACAATTGCTTCCTGTGCACTTCTTGTCTTCGTTGTTTTGTTTTGTTTCATTATGACATTTTCAAACAAAATCTGTTTTATTGATGCTCTTCACCTATCTTTGCCATCCCTTTGGCCCTCTTTGTCTTTATCTTAATCCTTTCAGTATTGATGTTGGTCCTTTTTTACTTTTCAGGCTTTTGCTTTTGGAAGTATGGTGGATTAGATTCCCTGAGAATCCTTTGAGCAGAGGGAAGTAGCATGCTAGATAAATATATTTATTCATGTCTTGTTGGTATTGAATTCAGGGCTTCACACATTAGGCAAACACTGAGCTACATCTAGCTGTGTATTAAAAAAAAAAAAAAAAGATAACTGTTTAAACACACAAAAAGGCACAAAAGAAAGCTGATCTTCCAAACAAAGCCAAGACTGGGGTCTTTGCAAGTATCTGATAAAACCAGCTTCACCCGGAGTTGTTGCCAAGCACAGCATACTTTAAGCTTCCAAGGAATGTGGGAAAGTGGAAAGGAGGGATTCCACATAAAGCTGAATACCCTTAGCACAAAGATGAATAGATACTCATGATCAGATGGTTTGCTCTGTAAACCTTGTGACCCACATTCAATGCCTGGAACCCATATAAATGTGGAAAGAGAAAACTGACCCCACAAAGTGTGTGCACACCTATTACACAACAACAACTTGTTGAGGGAGACAACAAAGAACTTCTGATCTTGATAATAGGTTGTGGAGGGTTTGCAATCCAAATTTCATTACCTGTGTGACTCAAAAGCCAGTAAATAGGGACTTTTCAAGTCGTTCTTCATTGGCCATAACTCCAGATGGTTTCCAGAAGTCAGTGTGTTTCCTCTGAGGTTCAGAAACAACTCTCGTAGACTTCAACCAGGTGCTCAAAAACTACACATAGTAGTAAAGAGCAGTGAGTGAAATTGGGGATAGAAAACACATAAGCCAATCCTTAAATACTTCAGATGTTTGTTGGCACTAACATGGACTATGTAACAAGGCATGGATTAAGGTCAATGAGTTCCAGTGGAATGCAGACTCATGAAGGCATACTGTTCAAAGCCCTGGTAAATGATGTAAATGTAAGCTTTACATAAAGGTGGCATGTAATTAGGAGCTGGACAGAATGAAATCAGAATGCTGGACAATGACATGTATGTTGAAGGGTGATTAGAGCAGAATTCTCATATTCTTGTGTTTGGGAGAAAAGTGAATATACTGATCAAAGCTTTTGTGAAACTAAGTGTCCATATTAGCTTTAGCTGTTAAAAGAACAGAGTATATAACTTCTAAAGAAAAGCAAAAGGGCAGAGGTGTAGTTAAAATTGGTACTTCATCTGATGGAATGAGCTAGGTTTAAGGAGTAGAGGAAAGATGTGTGTCATCCCAGTGCAGGGGTCACCATGCAACAAGTGAACAGATGTGTGCAGAAAAGAGCAAAGGTGGAAAGCAAGTGTACAGATGGGCAAGAAGTCCGAGAGTTCCCCAAAAGGCAAAGTTAATGAATTATGCTTACATAGCCAGCACTTTTCCTCAGCTGTGGGATGGACCTTCTTTCAGAGACTGATGGCTTTGAGATAGGAGAGCCAATGAGGAGCATTGTGTCATTCCAGTTCATCTCAGCACCATTCATAATTTCCTGGGCCCAGAGGGCTTTCTCAGGGCCATTAGTTGAAATTTGGGAATG